CCGGGAGCGGCGGTGCCAGGAGCAGGGACAGAGCACGGCGGGGCGGCACACTCGGGCTGCGCGCTAAAAGGCCGTCTCCCGCCGCGAAGGCCGGGCAGATCTCGCTCTGTGCTGCGGCCCGCTTGGTTCATCCTAACGGAGGTCCAAACCCGGGTCTCCACATCCGCATCTGGACCCCAAGCCAAAGCACTCGGGGAAAATAAGTTGTCCCAGGCCTGGATAACGAGCTACAAACTGGAGAGACCTTCAAAGTAATTGGCCTGAAGGTCTCAGACCGGTCAGTTCTTCCCTGTTCGCACTCTCAAGCTCTCCGTCGCCTAACAAAAACGTAAGAAGCATTCTCTACACTGGGTGTTGTTCAATCTGAGGCCTGATCTAGAAGGCCTCTTTTCTGAGGGAAGGGGACAACTTCCGGCGTTAGAACCTAATTTTGCAACCCAATTATTAATGCAAAACCTCAAAAACACCTTCAGACTTGCAAGTCTCCTCCTAGTATCCATGAAAATCAGGGCGCTCCTTCGCTCCATACACGTGAGCTGTTTCACTCTAGTTACTCAGCTGTATTTCCAAGGCAAGGCAGCTGTAGTTACTGCAGTAAAAGGAGACAACGGCCTCTCCAGGCAGGGACAAACTGACAGATAAAACCAGAGGCCAGGACTGGCCATCTGGAGCCCTAAAAAAATCCAGCACCTCGGCCCTCGAAAGCAGCAGCACAATCGCAGAACCTCATCAATGGGTTTCTGTAAGCAGCAGCACGCTCCCAAACACGGGAGGCAGACGCCAGCTCCCCCAGCGTCTATCACAAAGGGCAAATTGATGCATACGATACTCATTCATGTAAGACGTTTGTACACGGCTAACAATGGCGTGGAAATGGGAAATAATGCTCCAAAACGCCTATGTTATCGGCACCCCCTAGGTCTCACGGCTGTGAGGAGGACATTTCATTACACTGTTATTCATCTTGATGCCCTTTTGCAAAATATCCTTGTGAATAACCTACCTGTGAGGGATGTTGCTTTTCACGTCCTTAGCTGAGAAAGTAGAGAGATTCAGAAATATCAAGGACATACTTTACTATTCTTAACAAAGAAAAGGCAAATAAATTCAATTTTGGAATTACATATATCTGAAATTCAAAAGCTTCTCATTTAGGCATTATAATTGGAAATAAAAATGGTTTAGAAGCTAGGTAAGCAATTTGCATCATTGGAAGAAACAAGCATAGGTAACTGAGAAAAAGAGATTTATTAATTAGCCGAGCTGTTACTGCCTTAAAAAAAAAAATCAAGCCCTAAGAAAGAATTTAGTATATGCAAAATAACTGTTCAATCACCTTATGATCAGAAATATTCAAATAAAGTATCTGTAGAGTTCTCTGAAGGATTATTTCTTTCCACTTTCAGGGGGTTTCCAACTAACTGAAATTTGAGTCTGAACCAAAACTGTTGGAGGTTAATGGGGATAGTTGCCATTTCTAATTTTCTAACCAAAATCTTTCAGAGTTACAGGGCAAATTTATGCACAGAAAATACGACCTAATCATTCTTCACGAGTTAAACCTTCCTGTGTAGCACCCCCATTTCCACTCCTCTGGCACTCAACCGCCTTTCGCCAGCGTTGACGTTTGGCTCTTTCGGGGGTGCAGACCAGCCCCCGAGAACTCGTCGGCCAGGAAGAATGAGTGACCGCGCAGATACCGCAGCGGGATTTCGGATATTAGGGGGGCATTTTTGCATCACTGGGGCAACACTGCAGCCTGAGCCTAACGAGCAGATGCAGGACTTCGTGCTAATTGTGCTCATTTGTGTTGGTTGCCTATACATTCACGCCCAGGAAGCTGCCATGTGGCTGCATTTCAGGTGCCATTCGTCCAAGTCCAGTCTTAGTTTTTCTTCCTCAGATTTCTACAAGTCGAGAACAAAAAAAACAATTATTGGACAACTTAAGTGTTTAGGTTCTTGGCACATACACATTCTACTGTCCCTTTACAGTTATAGAGCTTCTCCTGAAGAATCAATTTGTATTTCGTCCAGTGTTTTTAAAAAAATTAAAAGAAAAATGGCCAAAGAGAGGCCAAGAGAACGGTACAGTCCATTCGCTATAAGGAGACACTTTCAGTTTGGGTAGTAAAAGGAGACCAAACAACTGCTTAAATTAACAGCTTAAAATCAGAAATAGGTTTTCAGATTTGGTATTGCTATTAACGGCTGAAAAAGTTGGATAAAGACATACCCGTTTTACACCACCACTGAAATCTGCATTTTGCAATGCAACTGTGTTTAGACTAAAACAAGCTAATTTAACAAGTCTGGTTTTGTAGGCAAGCAATACTTTACAGCAGTAAAGAGTTGTTTGTATCTTTCTAGCTGCCTTTAAAGAGTTTGCATCATTAGAGTCCCAAATATTGGAATTTATTAGACAAACTGAACAAGCCAAAGTATATGTAGTCTTTCTGAATTTCAACTGGGCAAGGCTACAACAGTGGAAACACCGTGGCGGAAAAAGGGATATACCCCAAAGTTGCATATGATTGTGTTGTTCAGAGGAAAATTCAATGGTTCAATCACCTAGAATATCATCCCAGATATTAGTGGTTGTTATTAGGCATGGGAATAAAATCTGCATGGTAGAAAACAATGTGGAACATTTTGCTCACAGATGAGCCGAGACGCCCGCTTGCGTTTCTACAGATGTATTATAAAACAAGTTTCCCTATCAACACCAAATAAGCCCACCCAACGTAACCTTCTGATGCTGGTGACTCATTGTCCTCTAAACACAGGAAAATGACATTTAATCTGAGTCTCCAACTTGCTTATTAAATACCTAGAAAAGAAATGTCCACTAAACCCATATGCTAGTGCTTATATACATGCAATAAGTACTAAATCAGATAAATCCAATGTTTTTTCAGACACTGTGTCAGATGCAGTGAAGAAATATGTACTACTTTCAAATAGGTCCTCATTTAAAAAGATATAACAGTGTAGTTCAGATCTCAAACTTCTTCTGGAAAAAAATTTTTTTAAATTGCACAAATGAATGCTCTCGTATTTTTGTAAACAAAAGTCCAATTTAACATAGTTTTATGTGCATTTAAATGTTCCTTTCGGTGGAATTTATAGATAAATCTGTTGAGTTAGCATGTGGGGGGAAAAAGTGAAATGGAGGATTAAAGTGAATTGCTTACTTTCACAGAAGAGAAACGAGATCATCCTGGTTATAATGTAATCAAAGAATTGTCCACAGTATCAACTGGAAAATGTTTTTGTAGCCCGTGCAAACTAAACCGGGCACGGTGGATGAAATTCTCATCACCTAAACAGGGTCATTTTTTTATCATTGACAGTAAATAAGGCAGCATCTAAAACTCCAAGTACAAGCCACAACAGCAGCATGCTACACACGAGGCAAACAAGGGCAGTGAGGTAAAAAATGGCCACATGCAGAATAATCTTGTGGTCTAGGAAAAAAAATCTAGAAAAAAGTTTTGCAAAAATATGGGCAATTGGGAATTTTCCCATACAGCAAATGAAAACGAAATACTAAGGCAGTCAGGCGTACATAGCAGCATGTGTACGGGCATATTCGCCCGCCCCTCGAATGCTGTGCTCAGCGCTGGGCCCCTCACCCCAAGGCGGCCATGGAGGGGCTGGAGCGTGGCCAGAGCAGGGCAGCGAGGCTGGGGCAGGGGCTGCAACTGCCTGAAAGGAGGCTGGAGCCGGGGGGGTCGGTCTCTTCTCCCCAGGAACAAGCGATGGGACGAGAGGGAACGGCCTCAAGCTGCGCCAGGGCAGGTTTGGGTTGGGTATTAGGAAAAACTTCTTCCCCCAAAGGGCTGTCAGGCCCTGGCCCAGGCTGCCCAGGGCAGGGGCTGAGTCCCCATCCCTGGAGGGATTTAAAAGCCGGGGAGATGTGGTGCTGAGGGACATGGGTTAGTGGTGGGCTTGGCAGTGCTGGGTTAACGGTTGGACTCAGTGATCTTAAGGGTCTTTGCCAACCTGAATGATTCTGTGATTCTGGGATTCCATATCCTGCAAGCAGAAGTACTACAGAAGTGAGTGGGATTACAGCGATATGTGTATTAGTGATTTATGTAAGAAATATCTGTCTTTGGTGTGTATGAGTCCACAGATCCACAGCAACATACTCAGTAACTCCCATTGTACAAACACTAACCAGGTCTTACACCTTCTTGTGAATATTGTCTCTGGTTTAGAGATGGAAGAAACTGAGGCAGAAGCATTAAATGGACCACGCAGGCAAGGACTGCTAGAGCTGGGATTACACCAGAGGAGCTTTTGAGGATCCGGATTCTGCATCTGACCTGTGTTTTCATCTTTCTACGGCAGTGTGAAGCACTGCCGTGGCCGACAGTCTGCCTTGGTGCACTGGCGCTTCCTGCCTGTAACAGGGTCACCAAGGGAAGGGAAGTGCCAAAAGGGTTGTACTTGGACAGGGACCAGCTACTCCCTTCTGCAGCACAGCTACAGAAAACCACTGCAGGCAAACCGTGGAGCGGTCAGCCAGGTCTTGGGCTCAGCTGACCTCAGGCTGTGGAGTTCGAGTAGGAAGGCAGCAGGAAACCATCTTCTC